CGACCATGCCCGAGCCGGCCAAGTCCGCGCCCGCCCCGAAGAAGGGCTCCAAGAAGGCGGTGACCAAGGCGCAGAAGAAGGACGGCAAGAAGCGCAAGCGCAGCCGCAAGGAGAGCTACTCGGTCTACGTGTACAAGGTGCTGAAGCAGGTGCACCCCGACACCGGCATCTCGTCCAAGGCCATGGGCATCATGAACTCCTTCGTCAACGACATCTTCGAGCGCATCGCGGGCGAGGCGTCGCGCCTGGCGCATTACAACAAGCGCTCGACCATCACGTCGCGGGAGATCCAGACGGCCGTGCGCCTGCTGCTGCCCGGCGAGCTGGCCAAGCACGCCGTGTCCGAGGGCACCAAGGCCGTCACCAAGTACACCAGCTCCAAGTGATGTGCTCCCGCCACTGTGAAACCCAAAGGCTCTCTTCGGAGCCACTCACACTCACGGGAACAGCTGGCTCGTTTTCCCTGTAGTCTAGTTTCCTTAGAAGGGTACGGGGCTGGCCTGGGCGAGGAAGGTAAGGGCCAAATGCTTATTTAATAGCCCTCCGCACGCATTTTTGGATAAGCATTAGGCGCACTGTGTGCCAATTTAGTGTGGGCTCTTTAGAGCCCTTTGAGAGGCTCCCCCTTGGCCTTGGGCAGTGCGGGGAAGGCCCCCGCGTCCAACTGGGCGGCGGGACTATTTGAAAAGCCCGCCCTGGGCTCCAATTTGCCAGCTAGACTTAGCTGGTGTGTTTTTGCTAGATTTTCTGTGGAAGGTAAAATTGTGGCCCCTGCGTTTTGTGCGGGAATCACGGGCCTCCAGAGCCATAAGGCGAACATGACGGTTGGGAGGCTCCCTGCGCAAAAAATGTTGAGTAAGGAGCCCAGCAGCCGGTCGGCCGCGTTCTTCGCGGCCATCAGGGCGAGTGGGCGGCAGGGTCAGGCTGCGATCTGAGTCCACGATTAGAAATCCTGCGACCTAAGTCAGAACCCTGTGCGCAATAAGAGGAGCGGACCCCAGAAAGACCCCATGGACACGAAGTGAGCTGAACGCTGGGTAGCCAGGAATCCGGAGTGGACTCAAGGCTCCAGGGAAAGTCCTTCAATTTTCCCCTTCAGTGTCTTCCAGTGGTGCCTAAACTCCCCTTTCCTGCATCTCAAAGCGATACCCTCGCCGCCCTTTCATCCCCTCTGCACAGATGCA